CCTCTTCACCTGGTGTTAGGTTATCTTCATAATAACTGGGGTGAACTAGGCCCTCCACTGGGCTCTGACATTTCACCTGCCACTTGTGCACACTGAAAGGCATGACATTTCTTACACCTTTGAAAACATCAGGGAAAATCAAAGAAATTTCTCTCATTCTGAACTTTACCTCTGCTGGACCAAAAGGTTTGCTACCAGGGCAATAATAAAAGCAAGAAAGGAGAGCGTTCCATAAAGAAGAGATAAGTGGAACAGATTTATGGGCTGAAATAACAATCAACCAATGACCACACTAGTTAAATTGCCTTCTTCAATACCTGCACTCTATACTATGCCTTTCTTATGTAAAGAGTAAACAAAACCCTTTTTTTTTTCTGTTTCAAGACAATCTTGATTTTCATTGTGTGTAATTAAGGAGTACAATGTGATATTCTTTGGATTGATGCACAATAGATACATATATTTTCAAGTCACGTGGGATAATATGTTCACATAATTTGTACAGATCAAGTCAGTGTACTTGGGATATCAATCAACTTACATATTTGTATTTTCTTTATGCTAGAAACATTCAAATTTTTCTCTTCTAGCTATTTTTAAATGTACAATAGATTATCATAAGCTTTAGTCACCTCACTGATCTTTAGAACATTATATGTTATTTCTTCTATCAAACCAAATATTTGTACCCATTAATCAACTTCTCTTTATCCCACTTCTTTCTTTGGCCACCCTTCCCGACCTCTGGTAACCACAAATCTACTCTCTTTCTTTATGAGATCCACTGTTTTAGCTTCCACATATGAGTATAAATGCAAAATGCTCTTTTAATATACTTATGCGTAGTGAAACAGTGACTGTAGTCAAGCAAATTCACATATCTGTCATCTCACAGAGTTAATCTTTTTTTGTGTGCATGTAACAAGAGCCCTTAAAATCTACTCTTTTAGCAAAAATCCTGAATATAAAATAATTTTATTAATTATGTTCTTTGTTCTGTACACTGAATCTTCTAGACTTATTCATTCTGCATATCTGCTCCTTTGTATAAAGGATAAACAAAAATTTTAAAATACTTCTCTCTTCTGTCCTTCCAAGCCTACTAAGCACATGGCATCCTCCCAGATGGAGAACCAACTCATTCACACGCATAGTTGGCTGTTGTTTCACTCAAAAGGAGTTGATTTGAAATTATCTGACTGCATTAACTGAACTGATAACCAGCTGATCATTGCTATAGATAATGGGATTTCTTCAAGGCGTAGAGAAAGTCAGTAACAATCAGATCTAGAATTATGATTTTTTGACTATTCATATTGTAGGCCCCAGCCATCTCCAGTTGTGTATTCGTCCACAACCCATGAGCTGGCACCGGGGGATTGGCAGACCCTTGTTCCTGGAACCTCCCACTGGTTATCACACCTAACGTTGGAACACTGTGGTACAGTGAACTCTGATTCCTGGAATTGTTACCAGGTGACCACGACGTCATCAAATGGTCTGGCCATTCCTTCTACTGATGTCTCAAACATGTTTCAGACTAAGCTACGAAATGAAAGTTGGGAAGACTTGCAGAAAATGTCCTGCACAACTGAGATCCAAGTAGCATTCATTCTCTCCTCCTTTATGACCTTCATCAGTGGACTCATCATCCTGCTGATCTTCAGGCTGATTTGGAGAACTGTTAAAAAATGGCAAATCATCAAGGGAACAGGAATTATCTTGGTCAGTTTCCTTATTAGGGATCCCTTTGTGTGAAGTTACAGATGAGTTTGGGGTAGTTTTGTGTTCAGCAAAAGATCTAAGCTTCATTCAGTTTTTCAGGCTAACACAGTCAGCTTCTCTGGCCTGGTGCCTCAGAAAGGGTAGTAAGCCAGACCTCAGGCCACATTCTGAAGCCTGAAGAGACAGGGTCAGGTCTCTTTTTTCTCCCATCACTGGAAAAAGCAATGTCTTGTATGGTTAATGATTAATGTTAGCTCTGGAAAGGGAGGTCACTGTTCTGAAAAAAGGTTCATAAACATTATGTCCATGACTCTATCTTGAATTTTAACAAGACAATTGTGCTAGGTTGTAGAAAGGAGGTGAAAGGGAACAAGACATCAACGTCAACCTTGCTTTCATAAATTGTTCATGCATAATGCATATGTACTGACATGTGTACATTGTCTTTTGTATGCTATGTGAAGACAACACATTGAGTTGCACATACACAGAGAAGCTCATGCATACATGCCTGTGCTATCCAGGCATAGATGCAAGGACATTTCTTATAACCAAGCAACCTTAGCAGGAGTTGATGTTGTTGAATAACAGCTGGCAAATGATGATGATGAGGATAAATGATGTATTATACAGATAAGGCATTGCTTAAGAGCTTGAAATAAAGCTCTCAAATGCTGTGTAATGGATGTTCTATTACCAGAGGTCAAAGACGAAGAGTTTTATTATACCCTGTGTAGTTTGTTTCCATTTTTGCTTCCCAAACTTTCTTTCTCTGATAGATTATAGCAATTTCCATAACACAACACATTTCACCTGTGCATTATAATATTGAAAATTTGCTTAAAACATTTCTTTTAGTGCTAAAACCTACAGAAAATATAATTTATAAATTGATAATTTTTAAGGTTATTGGTAATATGGAATTTTGTTTTCCATATTTGAAAATTAGCCAATATTGAAGCTGATAGATTTTGTTCCTAAACAAGTTTATTCTATTGATTATTTGTACATTATGGATTTTAAGCAGTGGCACAATAATTGGAGAAAGAATACTGGGATACTGACTTATGGGTAAATAGCCTTGATGAATCTGCCTCCTGTTTTCTACCTTGTTTTGTTGTTGTTAATGCACAACTGAATTTGTAGGATTTTTAAATCGTCTTAGTCTTCTGCTCTAGGCAGTGTTCTTCTCCATTATGTTCATTTTCTGTGATCACAAAAATGTGAGAGTACATTTGTCAATTTCCTATATTTTTCATTTCTTACTTTGGGTGTAATTTATGTCTACACTTCAGTCCAGGTGTATCCTTTAATTACAAATATTTAGCAAATGTTACAAAATGTTAAGAAGTGAGCCTGAGCAACCAGAATGCTGTACCGTTCTGCTTTTGAATCTTGAGGAAAGAGTTTGATCAAGTTGAGTTAGTTTTCAATAATTTGTTTTGTTTCATCAAATTAAGAGTGACCTGTTTTTCTCTAAGCCTTTGGAGAAGTTGGACAAATGCAAAAAAAAAAAAACTCAGAAATCTAGGTGTACTGTGAAGAGTTATTTTAAAAATTATTTGGAGAGTTATAATTTCTCTCCTTAAATGTGCATTTAAAACATTTATTACATCTATAAATATGATTTTATTATATCTTAGGACCAATTTGTTTTTCCACAGAAGGTAGCTCCATTTTATGATGGAATTCAAATGAGTATTCTATATTAATGTCATACCTAGTATTTTTTTAAATTAATTCTCACACAACATTTAGAAACAGACATGAGTCGTGTGTATTAGAGGACAAATAATTGATCAGGATGTAAACTTTTATCAAAGAGTTTTTAAATGAGACTTCCCTTCTTATCATTCAGAAAATATGAGTAGAAACATTAACTGATTTTGGAAATCTTGGTTTCATATAAAATGAGCTTTTTTGAAAGTCAGAGGGAGTCATTTAGCTTGGTGTGGGTAGTCCTAGGTGATTTGTGTATTTCTTTGTGGTGGTTCTAAAATATTATCAGCAAACAATGAATGCCAGCTCAGGTCCCAGCCTTTCCTCATTGCCTGATATTAGGAAAGTCATTTAATTTCTCTATACCTTGGTTTCCACATCAATATAAAATTTATTTAGTCATGCTTAACTTTATCATATGAGATTACTGTAACATTTAAATATAATAAGTGAAGACATTCTGGCCGGGCGCGGTGGCTCACGCCTGTAATCCCAGCACTTTGGGAGGCCGAGATGGGCGGATCACAAGGTCAGGAGATGGAGACCATCCTGGCTAACACGGTGAAACCCTGTCTCTACTAAAAATACAAAAAAACTAGCCGGGCGAGGTGGGGGGTGCCTGTAGTCCCAGCTACTCGGGAGGCTGAAGCAGGAGAATGGCGTAAACCTGGGAGGCGGAGCTTGCAGTGAGCTGAGATCCGGCCACTGCACTCTGGCCTGGGTGACAGAGCGAGACTCCGTAAAAAAAAAAAAAAAAAAAAAAGACATTCTATAAATGTGAGGAAGGATTATAATTTCAGAATATAATACCAGCCAAAAAAACTAAAAGCAACACAACATTGCTGAAAACTTCTCCTTTCTCTCACAAAATGCAGACACTTAAGTAATCACCTAAAAAATCAATTTGTAATCTTTTTTCTTTGTCCACATATCTTGATGAAAACTGTTACACTTATACCCAGAGCAGAAGAAAGCATGATGCTCCCAATTCTGATCGTTGCAATGATGTCAGTATGAAGGGTCTGGGACTGAGTATACATGAGAAAGACATAGAGGAAGATTGCAGAATTTCAGCATAAAAAAAGCTGTGCAGAAAACCAGGAAAATGCAAATCCAGTAAAATCCATATTATGAAATATTGAATAAGCAACTTCAGGGTTCCCTGATTTGGACAAGGTAGAGTGGTTTTCGACTGATACCATCACAAGAGGCTCTATCAACATAAGTAAAACAGATTTCTTTCTCTCAGATCCAGCTCACATTGTCAATTTCTTTCTCTCGATTATAGGAACTGTTCACATCAGGTAGCATCCCTAGGAACCATGTAAGAAGCCTCCACTTCCAGGGACGATTTCGTGATCGTATAGAAATGTTGCTTTCGGCCCAGACCTTTGTGGGGCAAGTGTTGGTAAGTACATTTTCAGTGTTAGCTTGCTAACAAACTTTAGCCATAGGTGTGATGATGGTCAGTATAAATCAATTGATTCTCTAGGTAAACAACTGATGTTCCTTTGGTCGTCTTATCTATAATATCACCACCTCCCCGTCCCCACCTCCCTGTGTCTACCACTCTTTACCCATTATCTTGCTTTATATCTGGAGTGAATATAATTACTAATAATTGTATTATATTATTATATATTAATGTAAATCATATATATTATTAATAATGTTATATAAATAGTATATAATACATTATCTGTAATAACATGTAATTATATGGAATAATTATATAATTATTAATAATTATAATCTTCCTAATTATAGTTAATTACTAATCATATATTTATAAATAGTAATTGTAATATTATATATTTACTAATTAATGATATATATTTATAATTATATAATTACTAATTATGTATTATAATTATATTTTATATTTATTGTCAGTCTTTCCACAAGGAAGAAAGCTTTGTTAAGGCAATAGTTGTGAGCGTTTGGTTCTCCTTATATATGCAGATGGGTGTGCACATAGATATTTTCAAAACATGTTTAGTAAACGAATCAGACCTGAAATATATAGCTACTTTCCTCTCCTTTGATTTCAATAGACCTCTTTATATCATTATGCAAAGTAGCCTTTAGTGTCCCTCTATGATATTTATCCCTCTACTTCCTATTTTAATCTCGGTAATTTGAACATATTAAATCTCACTTTGGGCATCATCTCTTTGGGGCATCCTAACCTTACCTCTTTATTAAGTTAAGAGCTCTTCCTCTAGCTTCTTTAATATTTGTTGAGCATTGCTATTAAAATTATCTGTGCACATGCCTATCTCTCTCAGAGTAAAGTGAGCTCCTGTCCATACTATGTCATGGAACTGTTTATTTCCCATTATCTGTATATAGCAGATGCCCTGTAAATGAAGATTGCGCTGATCATCCTTTCAGTAGTGTGGTTTGATCTAAAATATGAAAAGATGAAATTCATAATTAGGGGTCTGCTGCCATCAGATGGTCTTATAATGGAAGTAGGTTCGTGTGAGCTAAAGATTATCCTCTGTTTCTTATAACTAGCAAAAACATGGCCCTTTTCCAGTTACTGTTTAATTCCGATCTCATACATTGCTAACGCTTGGTTGGAAGTATTAAGTAAAACTGCTTTCATAAAAGCTGCAGGGAATGTTGAGTCATCTGGAAATGTGCCTCTCCTTTTTCTGTCTTCTAAAGTTTTTTATCTCTTTTCCTGAAATCTCTGTGGGTATGACCCATTGCAGAAGGATTTTGTAATTCTCTCTGATGATATCAAGGATTTCTTGGTTAGGATTCAATGTTCTTCAAATGTTCAAGTCATGTTTGTGTGAGAAACTTTGGGAATAATGTATTAAAGGTCACTAGGGTGAGGGAGAAGGGAACTTACAACATCCATCATATGAGCATTGCATATGGGAAGTGGGTGGGAAAGCAATGATGAAAAATTACCATACCAATAAAAATTACTTATTTCACAAAGGGAAACTGTATTATTTTAACCTATAACAGCTGGTGATTATCTAGTTGGAACAGCAGGAGGCAAGGAGTAAAGCTTAGATTAGAATAAATACTTCAGGCCGGTGCGGTGGCTCATGCCTGTAATCTAGCACTTTGAGAGGCAGAGCAGGAGGATTGCTTGAGCCCAGGAGATCAAGACCAGCCTGAGCAGCATAGCAAGACCTCACCTCCACAAGTAATTTAAAAGTTAACTCAGTATATTGGCCTGCACGTGTGGTCCCAGCTACTCAGGAGGCTGAGATAGGAGGATCGCTTGAGCCCGAGTGGTCAAGGCTGCAGTGCTGCAGTGAGCTGTGATCATGCCACTGCACTCCAGCCTGGGCGACAGAGAGAGACCCCATCTAAAAAAAAATACTCTAGCATTGAAAGCCAAAACTGAGCCTCTTAGAGATCCCAAGTACAGTTTTAAGAGAATAAAACGGCTTAAAAGGAAGGCTTCCTTCCTTCTATGCTTCTTTCCTTCCTTTGTAATTCTTTTACTTCTTTTTTTTTTATTTTAATACTTTAAGTTCTAGGGTACATGTGTACAATGTGCAGGTTTGTTACATATATATATACACACACACACACACACACGTGCCATGTTGGTGTGCTGCACCCATTAACTCGTCATTTATATTAGCTATATCTCCTAATGCTATCCACCCCCCCCACCCACTCCCCACAATAGGACCCGGTGTGTGATGTTCCCCTTCCTGTGTCCAAGTGATCTCAATGTTCAGTTCCTACCTGTGAGTGAGAATATGCGGTATTTGGTTTTCTGTTCTTGCAATAGTTTGCTGAGAATGATGGTTTCCAGCTGCATCTATGTCCCTACAAAGGACACAAACTCATCCTTTTTTATGGTTGCCTAGTATTCCATGGTATGTATGTGCCACATATTCTTAATCCAGTCTATCAT